AATTTTATGGTTGGGTCACAACATGAGGAACTGTATTTAAAGGGCCAGAAGGTTGAGAACCACTGAACTAGAAGGTGAGGTTGACATCAGGCCTCTGGAGCTCTTGTGTCCTCCTAGTCCTCGAGAGCCAGTCTGGAAGTGGGCAAGAGACACTTCCTCTGGGTGAAGTGTCATCAGGTGCCAGCCTTGGCATTGTGCACAGATGGCATGATTACAGAATGCAGAGCAGTCCCTAAAGGCAGGACTGCTCCAGCCTGTTGCGCCAACTCAGACTTGTCCTAGGGCTTTCCTGATGGCTCTGGAACTAGACCAAGGATCAGTTATCCAGACTTCTCTGGGCGCCTTGGTAACAGGTCTCAGATCCTCACATGGCCCCTTGTGCAGGGCCAAGAGCACGCCCACTCATCTTTACAACTCCCTGCTGACCTTGTCTTATCACAACATTCTCTTTGAAGGACAGACCAGCGAGTCCCTTCTGTTGAGTATACTTTGTCCTTGGCATTGTGTTCCTGGAATTTACTGTCTTTTAAAAAAAAATCTAGATTATAAGCAAGAAAGAAGTCCTTTTCCACATGTTTTCCCACCTCCCCACAACACTGGGATTGATTATGAAATAAGCCCAAGATTCTACCTGTTTCAACTTCAATTGTTCTCTTTGGCCTTGGTTGCTAAGCACCCCTGCCTCCCCCACAATATCTTCCTCATTGCTGATATTACCCCTGTCCATCTCTCTGTCTTTGTGCCTCCTATTAAAATAGTCTCTCTCCTATGACACACGTTTCAGATGTCACCCCATCCTGAAACTTAGAGCCTCTGCCCTCTGTTCTCATTGAATTAAGTCAGGGCTGTCTTCACATCTGACTTGATTAAGAAGTATTTGTTTAATTGTGTTCATTGAAATAAACCATACTCAGAGGAAAAATATTGTATAATTCCACTTATATGAAGTATGTAGAATAGGCAAATACATAGAGACAGAAAGTAGAAAAGAGGTTACTGGGGTTTGGGGCATCATGAGGAATGAGGAGTTATCTTTTAATGGGTAGAATTTATACAGGGGGTGATGAAAAAGTTTTGGGTATAGATACTGGTGATGGGTACACAACATTGTAAATGTATTTAATGCCACTAAAAACATGAAAATGATAAATATTATGTATATTTTACTACAATAAAAAGGTAACTAAAAAAACCCCACAAAGGTTGTTTGTTTAAATAGCTTTTCCTTGTAGATTGCAAGTTTGTGGGAATGGTGAAAAAACATAACTTTTTCATCTGTTTTTTTCTTTTAAATATATTTTATTGATTTTACAGAGAGGAAGGGAGAGGGATAGAGAGTTAGAAACATCGATGAGAGAGAAACATCGTTCAGCTACCTCCTGCACACTCCCGACTGGGGATGTGCCTGCAGCAAGGTACATGCCCTTGACCGGAATCGAACCTGGGACCCTTCAGTCTGCAGGCCGACGCTCTATCCACTGAGCCAAACCAGCTAGGGCTAACTTTTTCATCTTTACCCAGCACAATGCTTTGGATGAGATAGTCACTCATTATTGCTTCAAATCAGGGATAGAAAGAAAAACAGAAATAAGGTACATTTTGACATATCTGCTGCCTCCAAAATGTATATATACAAACACACATAAAACTGCTATGAACAAAAGTGATTCTAATTTGTTTTGAGAATTTCTAACTCCTTTTGTCAGTGAAGGCATACTTTAGGTGTCACTGCCCTAAAGACCCCAGGTAGGAAGTCAGACCTGCAGGTGAGGAGCCTCTGTGTGTTTGAAGAACTTCCTGCCAGTCCCCTTTCATGTGGAGTCATACATTTCTGCTCCCTGAGATCAGTGTGATCATTGGCAAAGTGTTGCGGACAACAGCACACAGCACATACAATATTTGTCCAGGCACATGCACTAATAGCTAATTAAAAAGAATTCTGCCTTGAGCTCGCAGTTGTTCCTTTCAGGGTAGTAATAGGAAGTAACTGCCCTATGCCTTCACTGGACACACCTCACGGTTCCCATTGGGTTTAGCCTTCTCTCCTCTAGCTCAGATCTGGTGGAGTCAAGAGTAGAAGAGCTAGTTCACAGCCAGTTAACAGCAATGAGGTACATGAAGAGAAGAGATGGTGAAATCAGGACAGGTGCCTCCTTTCTCTGAGTCCCTGGGGATCCTAATGTGCTTTTGTTTTAATCTTACACTCTTCTTGGAAAGACAGTGTGAACGATAAAATTCAAGCCTGTAAGTGATACGTGTCTTTAGTGGCTTCTCAGTTTCTCTTTTTTGTGCCTTTTGGCAGCTTCCCTCCTCTGGCATTGCCAAACTGTTTAGAGGCCTCCAATAGGCTGAGGGCAGAATCTGAGGAGCACTAAAACCTGCTGAGAACTGGATTGATGTGTATTTCCCTTCCCATGGGATGTACATTTCAAGAAGCTCCGAGAAGGGGACATTGCACACCTGGAAGCTAGAGTTCATGTCTTGTTCCTCTTTGCATCCCAGACCCCAATAAGATGCCTGGGGCAAAGGAAATGATAATAAATGTTTCCATGAAAATGACTACTGGCAGAATTCCCATCTCTGTGACAGCAGGTTGGGTTCAATAGGTTCCTCTTGCAGATCAGACAGAACTTCGGGGGTCCTTCATATCTTATAAGAAGGGATATGAGACCCTCCTCTTAAAAGACAAACATTTCAAAGTGTTTTCATAAATGTATATAAGTACATTTATACATTTCAAAGTGTATAATAAACCTACAAATGGGTGATGGTGACATGTAGGAAAAGGAAAAATCCCTTCATACTGAGAACATACTAGCAGTCACTTCACTGTTCTCAGTTCTTGAAATTAGGATCAAGGTCTTTCCCTCTTCAGATCATCAGGTAGCCATCATGTGCCAGACACTGTATCCCTAAGAGATGCACCTTTGACCGAGATAGAGATAGTCCCTACCACCATGGGGCTTAGATACTGTGGAGATAGAGTCATAAATTACATTCCTGGTGAGGTATTTAATTCAACTCTGACCAAGAACAAAAGGGCCCTGTGCTCACCAAGAGAGGCCACAGTCAAGGGAGGCTTTTAGGAGGTGAGGGTGGATGCAGTCATCAAAGGATGGATAGGAGTTAACCAGCCACAGGGGGAGTGAGGGTGGTCTATTGAAGGAGGAACAGCTACATAAACCCTGAGATTAGAGGGAGCATCAGGAGTTGGAAAAACCAAAGTCCATATGGCTGGTGTGCAGACAGGAGTGTGAATTGGACATGAGGTTGAGAGGTGCTAGAGCAGGGCTAGAGCACTCAGCTGTGCAGCCAAACCGTACTCATTGTTGCTCAAATGGTGTCTGAACAGTTGTCTGAATGCATCTCAAGTAATCACTCTTACCAGTGGTTCTCAACCTGTGGGTCGCGACCCCTTTGGGGGTCGAACGACCCTTTCACAAGGGTCGCCTAAGACCATCCTGCATATCAGATATTTACATTATGATTCATAACAGTAGCAACATTACAGTGATGAAGTAGCAACGAAAATCATTTTATGGTTGGGTCACAACATGAGGAACTGTATTTAAAGGGCCAGAAGGTTGAGAACCACTGCAAACACTTTAAATTCCATAGTGGAGTGAATATATAATCAAGGAACATTTTTTTTTCATTTTTGAACTTGTTTGCTTACTTGATACAGGGATAGAAGTTTCAGGAAAAGTGGATGAAGCAGTATTGGGTGGGGAGTGGGGAAGAAGCATTCAAAGTTAACATTACCATAATTTCAGAACACTGTAGTGAATGCCTTGGAAAGCATAGTCTTCTGAGACTCTCAACTATGAATATGTGAGAGGTAGGGAGGTCATCAGTGCAGTCATAAATGAATATTCAAATTGAATCTACTTGTAGATTAGTTCAGGATTAATCTTCTGCATTTTCCCATTAACCAAGGGAAATATTGCTACACTTAAAATTGGCAGTCACTGGTTATATTTAAGTTTGGATTTCAAAACCACCCCTGACTATTTTGGCAGGACAAATCTTGGATTGTTGTTTTTAAGCAATCCAGATGCAGACTAATTTTTTTTTTTTAATTTAAGCTGCCTAGAGGGAGCCTTCATCTTTGGTTACTTCTTATATATAAAGTAGAGGGCCGGTGCATGAATGCGTGCATGGGTGGGGTCCCTCGGGGTGACCTGCGGGGATTGGGCCCCAGCTTGCACCCCCAGGCTCAAAGCCCCACAGCCCCGCCTGGCACCCCACCATGGCCTGGCACCACCCCCTCACCTGCTCCAACATCCCACCTGCGGGGTGATCGATCAGGGCGGTGGGGGGGGGCAAGGTCCCCCTACCCCCCAGCTTGGCTCCCTCAGTGCCTGAGAGCTGGGTGGTGGTCCTGCCCCCCTCCGATGGTCACCATCTGCTGGGCGATCGGTGGGGCCATCAGGCCCCCTCTCACACCTGCCTTGGCCTGGCACCACCTGCTCACCTGCTCCATCATCCCACTGTGGTCCTGCTCTAGGCAGGGCCCATTGGGACCCATAGTGCCTCCACTGCCTTCCGACGCCCACCCCACCTGTTGGTCAGCACACGTCATAGTGAGCAGTCAAACTCCCGGTCAAACAATTTGCACATTAGGCTTTTATATATATAGATATCATGCTAGACAATTTGGGTTTCAGGAAGTATCTTTTTCAATTTTAAGAACTGTACTGTAAACAGTCTATTTATTCTTTTGGTTAAAGAGGATAGTTTCTCTGGACCTCTAATATTTGCCAATCTCTAAGGAAAGGCAGGGTGCCTGACTTAGTCATCCAGACTCTGCCAATGAGATGACCAATGCCTCTGAGGAACAAGAGTGTATAAACTGTTGACTCTAAGTTTGGGCCTCTCTCACCCCATGGTGTGTAGTGATAGTCTGGATGTTCCCATCTTACTTAGGGGATTCCACATGGTCCTCGAACTTGACTATTTACAGCTTTTCCTCATCTCTCCTCCTGCCTCTGGGTTATTAGGTTCCTGCAAGTTCCCTGCAAACTGCCCAAGACTTCAAACCAAAGATTGTGGTGATGAGTAGCCTGCGGGTCATTCTTCAAGCCTCTTTATGCAAATCGCTGTGGAGAAGATGCCAGATTCTGAGATCCATGCCAGTGAGGCCCTGCAGCCTCTACACCTGCAGTTACAAAACCCGGAACCGAGCCTGTGAGTACCCTGCTGCCTTAAGGAGAGCAGGATGCTTGTTTCATAACAGTCATGCATGTTAAAGATTTGTGGATAGGATGTCAGTGGCATTCCAGAGTGGGTGTGTATGCCTTAAGAACTTTGAGAATTAATTACTTGTTTCTCTATCTGTCCTCTAAAAGGATTGTGGAAAGTTCTTTTTGCCCCAGTTTTACTGAGATATAATTGACACATAACATGTATAAGTCTAAGGTGTACCACATGGTGATTTGATACACATGTATATCGCAAATGATTACCGCATAAGGTTTGGAAAGTCCTTTTATTGACCAGTTTGAACATGTTAAAATTATGTCCTACAGAAATGGGACAAGGGTGAGATCCCAGTTTCAAATACTTTGAAACCTGTTCTTTATTGTTTCTTGTTAGCAATTGTCTTTTTAAAAAATAAATATTTTTATTGATTTCAGGGAGGAAGGAAGAGGGAGAAAGAGAGAGAGGGAAACAATGATGAGAGAGAATCATTGATCGGCTGCCTCCTGCATGCCCCTACTGGGGATTGAGCCTAAAACCTGGACATGTGCCCTTGACTGGAATCGAACCCAGGACCCTTTAGTCTGCAGGCCAACGCTCTATCCACTGAGCCAAACTCAATAGGGAAGCTATTTTTTTTTTATTAAGGTTGGTCCACAGATTGTGAATGATTTCTGTGGATCTGAACATTCTAGAAGATGCATGTTAATGATTGCCATCAGTTCAAACCAGTAGCATCACACCCTGGAATATTCTTTCCTGAGTTACACATTGTGGTTGCTTCTAGCAGACCAGCTTGTTGAGTGTATGCTCTGCTGTAAACATAGCAGATCAAGTGAGGCAGCAGATGGTCTCTGTTGAAACCTCTCACATCTAATCCCCCTGCCAAAAGACCAGTTACCATCTACCTCTCTATGGGGCAGGTATTCTCCACTGCAGAACCACTGACATGGGGGTGGGTCATTCTGTGTTGTCAGGGGCTGTCCTGTGCACTGTAAGATGTCGGATGGCATCCTTGGCCTCTACCCACTAGACGACTGCAATATCCCTGCCCAGTTGCAACAACCAAAAATGTCTACACATTACCAAATGAGCTCTGAGGGACAAAATTGCCTCTGGTTAAGAAATGATAGGAGAGGATAAACTTTGTATTTGTGGAGAGATGAGTTTGAGTTTGTAGAGAGATTAAATGGGTAAATATATCATTGGAGAGGTATTTTTCATATTTTCCATTAGTTTAAAGGGGTTGACTCAGAGTTTCCAAATATTGGCTTGCTTCTAGGTCAAGGTTTCTCTATTTTTTCTCTTTGGGTTTAGTCTCTTTTGGTCCCATTTGCACATAATAAAAGCAAAGGTAAGAGAAATGCTTGTAAAATAGGAATGATAATCTAGCTAAAGCCAAGGACTTGAAACTGCTCCATAAATATATTTTTATTGAGAGTGTATTTTGTTTCCTCTCACATTGACCGTGTTCTCATTAAAATGAACTGCCCAGTGTTATAATACATTTCTGGTTGCTGGGTGTGGCTTCCTACCACCAAGCCCACATCCTACCCAGACTGGCTTATTCTCAATACTGGCACTTTGAGGCTTAAAGTGGAAAAAAAATATTTATCTAGGTAATAAAGTTTTACTTTTTTTTACAGAAAAGTATAAGTCCCTAACACTACCTAGTAGTTAAATAAAGTGAACCACAAAAATAAGCTTTGTAGGCAATTCCATATTTTCTAATAGTCACACCTAAAAATGAACAAATAGTATGTCAATTGCATCTCAATAAAACTGGGGGAAGTAAATTTTGTTCATTTGTGTAATTCTACTAATATAGAAAATATAGGTGAAATATAGTATATAGGTGAAATAAATTTTACTAATCTATTTTATTTAACATAATAAACCCAAAATATTATCACTTTAAAGTTAGATGAATATAAGGATTATAAATGAAATATTTTACTTTCTTTGTTTTATACTAAGTCTTCAAAGTCCCTCAGTGTTTTACATTTATAGCACATTTCAATTTCAACTAGTCACACTGGGTGTGTGGGTACCATGTTAGACAGTGCAGGTACAGAGCAGTTGCCTAGGAGTAACAGTAGATGAGAGGATGCTTAATGTAATGTGCAGCTGTCAGGGAAGGGGTTTGAACTGACCTTGAGAGCCACTAGGATTTTCACAGATGGGAAAAAATAGGCAGATGTAATCATGTGAATGCAGGAAGTGTTCTGGGTACACTTGCTTGCCTGGTTGGAGAGACTATGGGTGAGAGGTAAGGTTAGAGAGCCTTGGTATCAACTTGTTTGGTTTTCTCTATCAGTAAGGTAAGCATTAAGTGCTTCCTTTGTGCCTGGTACCAAGTTCAGCCCTGGGCCTGTAGCAAAAGTACAGGATTCAGGTCCTAGGGCATAGAGTTGACACAGGCCCCTTGAGCAGATAAAGTAAAGGCACATTGCATGAAACATGGTTAAGTGCTAAATGGTGTGAGGGTGAATGCAGTGTGAGTTCAGCAGAAGGAAAGGTCAGGGTGGTTGGAGAAAATGTCAAGACTGGAGTTTGGGAAGATGGAGTAGAGGTGAGAAAGGAGGCAAAGCAACCAAGAAGCATGGTATGAAGTCTGGGCTATAGAGACCAGAACTAGGCTGGTGTTCATGGGTGAGACAAGAAAGAGATAAACCTAAAATATTTTTAAAGAAAAAATAATGTGGTGAGTAGGGTAATCTATATATCTGGTTGTCCCACTGTAATGGTCACTTAGGCTTTTATTATATAGATAAAAGCTTAATGTGCAAATTGCCCCTGTGGGAGTTCAACCGGGAGACTGATCACTCGCTGTGATATGCGCTGACCACCAGGGGTGGCGCAGAATGAAGGAAGGCCACATCTGGCAGCCGGCAGCCAGAGGAAGGCCCTGGCTGGCAGCTGGAAGGACCTGATCATCCCTGATCACCAGCCAGGCCTAGGGATCCTGCCTGTGCATGAATTTCATGCACCGGGCCTCTAGTATGAAAGAAAGATAAAAAGAAAATGAGACCTCCCCAGTTATGTTCTTTATTATATTCCTTCATTCCACAACTGATTGAAAGCCAGCTCAGTTCTGATTTGCAGAGCAGCAGGGGAGGCACATTGTATGTGTAGGGGAGGACAAATTATTTTCATTCTACCCTTCTGAATTATTGCCCCCCTCCAATAAAGGAGAGACTAATCAAAGGAAAACAAACAGAATTTTAATAACACGGATGCCAGGCCAAAAAAGGGGGGGAAGGGGTTTGGGGAACAAGTTAACATATAATGTGGATTTATAAAAAAAACATTAATTGTCTTATACATTTTGATAAGTGGCAGCAGCAGCTGCATTTGTGACACAGTTTGTGGCATTGGGAAAAAAAGTTTTCTGTTATTGAAGTGAATTATGTTATAAATGCAAAGAGAAGATAAAATATTAAAGAACATATTTTCTAAAAAAAATAGCATGGATACCTCCTATATACATAGGAGAGACCCAGGAAAACTGAGTAACTCCCTGAAATAGCCCAAAAAACTACCTTGCCCGGACCAAAAACTCTCAGTAGTCCTCACAAACTCTGGGTACTTATAGTCTAAACTAGAGGCCCGATGCACAAAATTCGTGCAAGGGACTCAGCCCTCGCAGCCCTGGCTTCATCTGGAAGGTCATCCGGAAGGACATTTGGCTGTCTGGTCTAATTAGCATATTATGCTTTTATTATTATAGATGTCCCCTTGCTGTAGTTGTCTCTTCATATACTGCTATGGATAAGCCCCTGTAGTGCCCCTCAGCAGCTGAGCTACTGAGTAGTTATCAATGAGAATAAATGAGATATCCTGACTCAGATTATATCACTCATATCCAAACAACCTATAAAAACAACTTCATTCTTAGATCAAAACAATTTCACTCTTAAAAACAACTTTAATTTTTGTCATAAGTAGATTTTAAATCATATAAAATTGATACACAATAAGTGTGAATTCTCAAGTTCCCAGCCACAAGTCTGAATATCTCAGAGGTGTTTCTAGAAGTTTAAAAATATCACACAATCAAATACAGTTGTTTATTCCAACAATAGCAGTTCAATACTAAAATTAAAAGGCATATATCAGATAAGGCACTACGAGACAATAAAAAAAGAGGAAGATATGGTTCCTGTCTGCAAGGAATTTGCATTCTAATCCAATTATAATATGAGTATATTATACCAATTCATATACATTTTCCATTTTAGATTTCTGAAACAGAAAGTTCTTGTTCTTCACAAGTTATTTTATATTAATGGAGAAACCCAAAATATTGATTTCAGACCTCTCTACAGGCGAGAGTACTGCATTATATGAAAAAAAAGAAAGAAAGAGAGAGAGGGGGGCGGAGGAAGAATACTTTGAGTTTGTCTTTGCTTTTAGCTCTAGACAAGATTTCTCTACTTTGGCCTTGTTGAAATCCAGGGTCAGATAATCTATGCATTGTTCAGCTGCATCCTTGGCCTTACCCACTAGATGTCAGTAGCACCCTCTCCAGTTATAACAATGAAAAATGTCTCTAGACATTGCCAAATATCTCCTGGGGGGCAGAATCCCTCTGTTGAGAACGACTGGCCTAGAAACTGCCAGGAGAGCTTTATGTTTGTACTGCTGGGGTACTTTTGTCCAAAAAGAAAAGGTTAAGATCTTGCACTTCCAGCTTTGGGCAACTACCTCAGAAAGAAGAATGTTTCCTATGTAAGAGTGAATCAGAGGCAAATTTCTGTTTTTTGTTTTTGTTTGTTTGTTTTTTTAATGAAAAGAAGGGTGTCAGGGACCCTGCCATGCACAAGGATATTTGACTGTATAGCACAGGGGTGGGCAAACTTTTTGACTCGAGGGCCACAGTGGGTTCTTAAACTGGACCGGAGGGCCGGAACAAAAGCATGGATGGAGTGTTTGTGTGAACTAATATAAATTCAAAGTAAACATCATTACATAAAAGGGTACGGTCTTTTTTTTTTTAGTTTTATTCATTTCAAACGGGCCGGATCTGGCCCACGGGCCGTAGTTTGCCCACGGCTAGAATAGCAGCTGCCTTGTCAAATCCTTAGACTCATTCATAGCAGTGAAGTGAGGTGCAGAGGGTCATTAGTAATGATTTCCTGTTGGTCTTGGTTTTACCCACGTATGGTGCTTCTAAAGGGCAGAGAACTGTAACACCCCAAATTATACATGTGGGTTCAATCCATCATGCATGGATGTCTCAAAAGGTCTGTCTGTGTTATCAGGAAGTCTGTGGAGATTTCAGGGATTTGCCACAAAGACTGTTCCAAACTAAAGAGGTTCATTTGCCTATATGCATCAAAGCCCAATAAAACACTAGCAGGAGTATGCAGCAAAGAAAGTAAAGGTTTATTTAAGAAAGTGGCACCAAGCCTGGAGACACAGGTGAGCTAATGCTCAAAGACCAGGCTCCCCAATGGCCTGTATGAGGGCAGATTATATACGGGAACAATTATTAATCATTGTGACTAAGGGAGTTGAGGTCATGGGATCTACTGATTATTTGGGGCCAGGATAGGAAGTAGTGGTTATTGATGTCAGCTATGGTGTCATTCTGTACAGTTTTGTGAGGGTAAAGATGTTATGCTTTCATGGCCTGGGACTGACACACAACTGAGGCCAAGATGCCATCTTCAGTTTGAAACTGTTCCCTTGATCAACAGACCTGAGGTTTTGTTCCTAAGACCTTATGATGCTAACCAGAACCTGATGTCCTAAGGACTTTGTGATTAAGGAAGTGGACATGCAGTATGTCGTGATGCTATTGACTGGACAAAGCTAGCTTGAATTAAGGGGGAAAGTCATATTAAAGAAATGAAGCTCCTGTGCAATTACAAGACCTGGTTCTCTAATTTTGGGTAGAAAAATCAGCATCAGTGATGTTATCAGTGCCCATGTGGGACAAAATGTGTCTGTACACTTAATATTATAAACAGAACTCCAAGAACCTTACAATGGTAATATTCTACCCAGGTTTTACAGAATGGCCTCGTAATCTTCAAATATTGCATACATAAAAGGTGAAGTCAGAATACACACTTAAATAGGACTATATAATTCCTCCAGTGGGATTCATCTCTCTCTGGTTCTCTTTGGTCTGACATACTTCTCTGCTGTGATTCAAGAAGTATTTGAGTCTGTCCTTAAGGCCTTAAGTATCTCTATTTCCCCCACTTTCCTTTCTTCTGAATGACATGACAGTGTAGGGGAAGAAAAATAATTTTTGCTCTGTACTTCTAGATTCTGGACTGAGACCCAACCCCCTCCAATAATAAAAGACAGATTAACAGGAGAAAAAACAAACAAACAAAAGTTTAATAACATGGATACCTCCTGTATATATGGGAGAGACTCAAGAAAACTGAATAACTCCCCCAAAAGGCCCAAGCCACCACCTTAAATACAGTCTTCAGCTAAAGACAAAAGATGTTGGGGCAGGGCTCTAGCATGGGAGGTTATCAGGAAAAGCAAGTAAACAAGAGTAAGGTTGTTATATAGATTTAAGTCAGTGCCTTCTTCATTGATGAAAGTCTACAGATTTAGTCTTCTGGTATAGAGAGGGATATACCCTTACAAATGGAGATTCCCTTCTAAATATAAATGTCTCTTACAAGATGATAACTTCTACTGCATTTTCATACCTTCTCATGTGTCAGTTGTTTCTTTAAAAAATTCGGCCTAAGATAATTCTTGTGCCAGAGATATTGGGGTGACTCACTCTGCTCTCCATCAACAGGGCCCCTAAACCCTGAACATCTTATAGGTCTCAAACTAACAAGAAATTACTCCTTTTCTTCTCACAATCATCAGTATCTTTCTTAATTTTTCCAAAACCCTAGAGCAGTGATGGCAAACCTTTTGAGCTCGGCATATCAGCATTTTGAAAAACCCTAACTTAACTCTGGTGCCGTGTCACATACAGAATTTTTTTTTGATATTTGTAACCATAGTAAAACAAAGATTTATATTTTTGATATTTATTTTATATATTTAAATGCCATTTAACAAAGAAAAATCAACAAAAAAATGAGTTCACATGTCACCTCTGACACGTGTATCATAGGTTCGCCATCACTGCCTTAGAGTGTACTCTAATGTCAACTGGCAGCCTACAATATTTCATTGTGTGTAAGGAATCCAGAAATCTTCAAAACAGCAAGCAAAATTACAGGATGCATGCAATGCAAGCCTTTATTTCTCCTAGCCAACCAATTAAAACCTTAATGGTTGATTGAACATTTGCTTTCCAAAAATTACTTCTCCTCTTTCCCCATTTACTTTGTTGAAAATATGTGCATTATTGAAAATGTCATTAATATGTTCCTGTGTTTAAAACTAGTTTATCAGTCTGTTCTCTGTATCTATGAGCCTGTTTCTATTTTGTAAGAAAAAACACACACCAAAAAACTCACAGACATAGACAACAATATGGTGATTACCAGAGGGAAAAGGGTGTGGGGGGGTAGAAGAAGGTAAAGGGGGGATAAAAATGGTGATAGTGACGAAAAGAGACTTGACTTTGGGTAGTGAACACATAATACAATATACAGATAATCTATATTATAAAAGGCCAGTGGCCGTAACACCGTAATGCCGTAACGACCAAACAACCGGTCACCAGGAGGTGCATTGATGGATCTCGCGGTGCGGCGGGTCTGGGGTCTTGCATGATTTCGTGCACTGGGCCTCTAGTGTACTATAAAATTGTACACCTGAAACCTATATAATTTTACTAATCAATGTCACTCCAATAAATTCAATAAAAATTTAAAAATACAAGTAAAATGGGCATATCCCTAAAAAAAACTTAGTTTAGCAGGTGGAGCCCAGGAAATGATCAATTCTAATCTCCACGCATTTTTCCTGTTATCATAAGACTATGTTGCATTTGGTTTAAGTGAAATTAAAAGGTGGACTGAGAGGCTGCAGTTTGACAAGACATCAGAGGCTGCTCCTTTGCAAAGAGCTCTCTGACCTGCCCATGTCCATGTCCTCTGCTTTAGTCAGTCCATGAAGCCCCTAAGTGGCTAAGTCCTGAGACTTCTCATTTCCATTAGTCTCAACAGGCTCTCCACAAATAGAACCGCCTAATGTGTGATCCCAGATAAGGGACATTCTGATGGCAGTCCCGATGTGCTTTCTCCTAGTGCACCCACTCTGGGAAAGAATGGACCTGGTTCCGGGGGGCGAGCGCCAGTCGCCCATCAACATCCGGTGGAGGGATAGTGTCTACGATCCTGACTTAAAACCGCTCACCATCTCTTATGACCCTGCCACCTGCCTACACCTCTGGAATAATGGATACTCTTTCCTTGTGGAATTTGAAGATTCTACTGATAAATCAGGTGAGAGACAGACTGATAGTCTCATCTGGAGTTAAAGGCACAGTTTCATATGGGCACAGGTTATATCACACTGTCTCCATGGAAGCACAACCTCTTTTGTTAGCAATGATGGGACACATTGGACTTACTTTTTCAATGTAAGTTTTTATGCATATTTTCTTAGTATAGGTAGTATTTTTATACTAAATAAGCATATTTCTAAGTATAGATTTATAATTTATATAGAAGATAGGGTGTGAAATGAAAAACTGTGTCCAGCCAGAACCGGTTTGGCTCAGTGGATAGAGCTTCAGCCTGCGGACTCAAGGGTCCCAGGTTCGATTCCGGTCAAGGGCATGTACCTTGGTTGCGGGCACATCCCCAGTGGGGGGCGTGCAGGAGGCGGCTGATCGATGCTTCTCTCTCATCGATGTTTCTAACTCTCTATCCTTCTCCCTTCCTCTCTGTAGAAAATCAATAAAAGAAAACGGTGTCCAAAATTTATTTTGTAGGGTTTATGAATATGTACTAATTTTCTCTGCTTCTTGACTTTACAAGACACTTTTATGTTAAATAGTAACACTGTTTAATTAGATTTAACTGATCAGATTTTAATGCCTTTGAAATGGTGAAAAGAATATTCATGTGTGCATGAGGTTTTAGTCTTAACAACTAGCTAAAGCTAGTAATATATTAGAAAAATGGAAACTCGCATTCTGTTAATTTTGTTAGTTAAGCAATGTTACCTAGTTTAAAATAAACACTTTTATTTTTAATGTGTTTTTATTGATTTTTTTTTAGAGAGAGAGAGGAGAAGGGAGAGGAAAGAGAGATAGAAACATCAATGAGAGAGAAACATGCATCAGCTGCCTCCCGCATGCCCCCTACTAGGATTGAGCCTGTAACCTGGGCTGTGCCCTGACCGGAAATTGAATCGGTGACCTCTTGGTTCATGGGTCAACACTCAACCACTAAGCCACACCAGCCAGGCAAGAAACACAATTTTAACAGATTTTAAAATTCACACATTATATTGCTTTTGAATCTTTTTTTTTCTCTTAATCAGATATAAATGAATCTGAATGATTTCAAAGTTTACCTGAAACTTTAGAGTGTGATGAATTCTACACAGGTTTTTCTTTTCCTGTCCCAAGCCAAATTTGATGTTATCAAATAGTCCTAATTTCATTGAAATAATTATTATTGGAAATAGTGTGTCTTTTTAAAGAGAGGTTATCAACCTGTGCCAATTTTGCCACCTCTTTTTTCCCAGGACTGGGGACATTTGGCAATGCCTGTAGGCATTTGTCATCACAACTGGAGGGTAGTGGTGTGACTGACATCTAGTGGGTCGAGGCCAGGAATGCTGCTAAACATCCTACAAATAGGCAGGACAGCATTCATGAAGAGTTATCCAGCTTCAAATATCAATAGAGCTGAGATAGAGAAATCCTGATTTAAAGGAAATTAATCTCCTCTTCTGAATATGATGAAATGAGTCTGTGAAAGTTCATAAATGAAGTAAAAGTGTGGGTGTTCACTCCTGTGTTTATCCTGACTCTAGGATTCTCAACTGTATCTTGGTTTTCCTTGCATTTTCCTAGTGATTCTCTGATACCTGGACATGGCCCTCTGACCAACTGCAAACAGACTGATCCTACAATGGGGTTCATCTCTCCTTAAGGGCTTAGGTGCAGGGGTGGGCAAACTTTTTGACTCGAGGGCCACAATGGGTTCTTAAACTGGACCGGAGGGCTGGAACAAAAGCATGGATGGAGTGTTCGTGTGAACTAATATAAATTCAAAGTAAACATCATTACATAAAAGGGTATGGTCTTTTTTTTTTTTTTTTAGTTTTATTCATTTCAAACAAGCCGGATCTGGCCCGTGGGCCATAGTTTGCCCACGGCTGGCTTAGGTGTCTCTATGTTGTACCCAATTTTTTTTTCTTTATCCTCCATGATATTACATGATCCCCAAACCCTAAACATCTTATTTACATTTCTCAAGCTAGAAACTACTCCTTTTCTCCAGATTCATCAGTGTCTTTCTTCTTACATTTTTAAGCCCTAGAACAGGGGTCCTCAAACTACGGCCTGCGGGCCACATGCAAATACAAATATTGTATTTATTCCCGTTTTGTTTTTTTACTTCAAAATAAGATATGTGCAGTGTGCATAGGAATTTGTTCATAGTTTGTTTTTTTTAAACTATAGTCCGGCCCTCCAATGGTCTGAGGGACAGTGAACTGGCCCCCTGTTTAAAAAGTTTAAGGACCCTTGCCTTAGAGTATGCCCCCATCTCAAATGGAAGACTATATTTTATATAAGGATTCCAGAAATCCTTAAAATAGGAAGCTGAAGTCCTGTGTTTCAGATAACCATCTTGCACTATGGTGAGCTCTACTTGTCTACCTTAGAGCTCTACCATTACTCCTGCCAGAGCTAGAGTAATGGACAGACCCAATCCACAGAACACCAGCTCTCATATGTTCACTCTGGATGCATAGCAATCCCCTCAATTAATTAGTATCAGCCCCAGCTGGTCCTTAGAAACCTTCTTTTCTTCTGACAGTTATTGGTGGGGTGCTTTCCATGTCCCCAATCTGTCACTGGTGGAAGTGGGCTTCTTAGGATGCTGCAAGAATAAGAATTTCCCCGCCCTAACCGGTTTGGCTCAGTGGATACAGCGTCGGCCTGTGGACTGAAGGGTCCCAGGTTCGATTCCAGTCAAGGGCATGTACCTTGGCTGCGGGCACATCCCCAGTAGGGGGTGTGCAGTAGACAGCTGATCGATGTTTCTCTCATCGATGTTTCTAACTCTCTATCCCTCTCCCTTCCTCTCTGTAAAAAATCAATAAAATATATTTTTTAAAAAAAGAATAAGAATTTCCTGAGGCTCCCATGGGAGGATGAGGTATTGTGGAAAGCTTTATTGATGAGGTACTATTAAGGGGCTTTCTTTCCAAGGTCCCACCTCCCTCTATCTTGCCATGGAAAAAGTCCCGTTTTATCTTCAGCAGGGCTAAGATCAAAACCATTACATAGAGTTTCTGCTCCATATTTGCACAGCTCAGTCCAGCATCTGGCTAGCTTAGTTTGTGTTCCCAGCTGTGGTCCATTGCATGTGGAGGCCATATGGCCATGGGCCATGCAGCTTCTAGGGCCACATGACTCTGGAGGCACATGGCCCATGCGGGTCATGGAGCAAATGAGAAACAGTAGTACAAGTGGGAAACAGGAGTTCAAGTAGCAAGAGGAACAAGAGAGAATTCTTTGGGGAATTTTACCCTTCCAAGATTTTTCAGGCTTGCAGTGGATCCACCCCTAACCTATTATATTTGTTCCCAGATTAGACTGACAGACAAGCACCTTCCCTACATCACCCTCACTTTACTTGCATGCACCCATCTTCCCCTTTGTTGGACCCCTTCTTTCAGTGATTTTCAGGAAATGGAATGGTGCTTCCTTGGGAAGAGTAAAATTGCAGCTTTCTGGTGAAGCTGCCCAGATGACCATGCTTATAATGTTTGCCCTTCCCTTTGCTCCTTTCCTATTATTACTATTAATAAACTAGCTAGTTACAATGGTAACATGAGGATTCTAAATAGTGATCAACCTTCTAATAACCGTGATAGTTTAGGGACTTGCCAATATTTTATTGCTTTATTGAGCTAAAAATCTTAGGAAGTTGTTTAATGGGTTTCCTAATCAAGTGAGTCAATCCCATGATCGTTCAACGCAAATAGTTTTTTATTTTATTTTTAAAAATATGTTTTTGTTGATTTCAGAGAGAGGAAGGGAGAGGGAGAGAGTTAGAAACATCAATGATGAGAGAGAATCATTGATCAGTTGCCTTCTGCATGCCCCCTACTGGGGATCGAACCTGCAACCTGGGCATGTGCCCTGACTGGGAATCGAACCTTGACCTCCTGGTTCAAGGGCCAATGCTCAACCACTGAGCAACACTGGCTGGGCGTTTTGCTTTATTTTTCAGTGATGCTCTTCTCATTTGAATAATAGACCCAAGAATTTTCATCCACCTATTTGCAAGGGCAATCTTATATGAAAAAAAACAACAACAACACACATTTTCCTCATAATAGTTCCCTAGATACTTCCCAACACAGCAAGCTGAATTATTCCTTAATCTTACCTTCCCTAGGTGAGTCAGTTTCACACTCTTTTTACAAAATGCAAGAAAGTTTGTAAGGAGGTTACTAATTTTCCACTTGTTTTGTCAGGAAGGACTAAAATAGGTAATTCCTTTTCATTGTGTTTTAATAATTATTTTCTTTCAGATATCATTAATCTTTAATAAGTATCTAACTCTATCTCTTTTTCCACATTTCAGTGACTACCTCCTATCTCCTGCTTATTCTTCACTGCTATTTCTCCATGCTGTTTCAAAATAATAACATTCAAAGAGGAAGAAAGAATGAATGATCATAAAAAATAAAGAAAATTAAAAGGAAGCAAAGACATCCTAGAAAGGAAGGAAGGCATGAAACAACTCTAATTCTAGAAAAGAAAGGATCTAATACATACTAATGTCTATAAATTTCCCAGAAAAAAAAAAAACGTAGGAAATGCTGCTACAGTGTGCTTTACAAGGAAATGAGGATAAAGTGTGCAAGGGAACAAGCTGGGGAAGGTATGTGACAAAAACAAAATATACCAAACCTTATGGGATGCAGCAAAAGCAGTGCTTAGAGAGAAATTTATAAATGAAAATGCCTGTATTGGAGAAGAACTTTCTCAAATTAATAACCTAGTCTTCTACCTTAAGAAACTAGAAAGAGAAGAGCAAACTAAACCTAAATCAAACCAAAAGAAGGTCATAATAAAGAGCAGAAATCAGAAGTTGGTTTTTTTTTTGGAAAGTTCAACAAAATTGACAAATGTTTGGCTAGTTAGACCAATGGGGAAAAATAAGAGAAGACTCAAATTACTAAACTCAGGAATGAAAGAGGGGATATCACATCAGGATCAGCCTTACAGAAATTAAAAGGATAAGAGAAGGGTTGTGAGCATTTCATACCACTGCCCTCTGCTGAGTACTGTTTTGTTTGGCTCCCTTGAATAGAATGCAGTTATTGATTTTAATGAGTGCATATGAAGGATGCAAAATATTGTGGGAAAGGGCACTGAATTATATCTAGGCTGAGTCCTATAAATGATTCCTATAAATTATCACCTTCACTGAGATTACTCTCATCAGCAATATCAGGCATTATATTGTTCTCCTAAGGATGCTTCCTGACCCATTTGGCTTCACTTACTTTACACTTTTAGGAGCATCACCCATGAATCTACTAAGAATGCTTATACAAACATTTTAAGTTCTTCCGTATTTTTGGTCCTATATCTACTTTTTTGGAAAAAAACAAAATAATAGTTTTTAGTAAATTTACAGAGCAGTGCAGCCATCATTACAATCCCCATTTAGAGCATTTCCGTCACCCCAAAAAGTTTCATGCCCATTCCTGTATTTCATTTTATTTGTATGGGACTTGTGTGTTATCTTCCCCTTCACCATCCTTTTCTCTGTTAGCTCCCTCACCTCTGCTTTGGGGAGGAAGGGGCAGGAAGAGATTAACCAAAGAACTTTTATGCATATATGTATACCCCATGGACACAGACAATAGTATGGTAGTCCTTGGAGGGGCAGGGTAGAGAGGGTCAATGGCGGGGGGGTGGTAAGGGGACATCTGTAATACTTTAAACAATAAAGATAAATTTTCTAAAAAGCAAAAGAAGGGAGTGAACATTACATAGGCGGTTTACCTGACACTATGCTAGGTGTTTTATATTTGTTATCTAATTTTTACATGTTTAATCTCTTCTCATCTTTAGAGCACAGAAAGAACAAAATATTAACAACCTCAAATAAGTATATAATTATTTGATATATCTTATGACTGCTCTGCTTTCTAATTCACTAACTTCTGTGTCCATTTTCTGTCCCATTTCTTGCCGACTGTACTTGCCCTTCTCATCCACGCATCTGCCCTGCCTGACTTCACCATTTTCCTTGCTCTTGTTGAGGTCACCAGTGATGTTTCAACTAACAAATGCTTTACAGTCTATTTTTTAGTTCCTGTTTTCATTGAGGATCTCCTAAGTGTCAGGCACTGTGCCAGGTGCTCATAATAGAAAGAGGAAGAGGGCATGGTTTTGCCTTTAAGGAGCTATAGTGTGGTGGGGAGACAGAACTGTGGGACCATCTAAAGGGGGCCACCATTTCTCCTGCCCAGCCTACTGTCACCAAGTGGAAGCATGTGCCCAACATGGTCAGGACGTCTCATTTTCAAGTTAAGTTGGAAGCGTGGATTTTTATGTGAAATCATCCAGATTTAAATGTTGGCAACGAATGTAAAAATGTCTTTAGTATTATGTGGGTGAATCCAAACACACCTGAAGACCTGTTCTGCCCTGCTCCCTTGAAGCCACCCATTGGTGACATCTCCTCTCTGCCTTGCTCATTATCTTTGGAGAAGACACACATCGTAAGTGTCCAGGACATTTTGCCACTGTGTTTCTGGGGATAGGAGAGAAAAGCTTACAGTCTCATCTGCCCTGGTCACTAAACTTGGGACCAGAACTTCAATTGAATTAAACAGATTAGATTAATTATTTTCCAAAGTCATGCTCACAATATGGAGCTGGCATAGAAAAATAAGAATTTTGGGGAGTCATTTTTATATCAGTACACTTTAGTACCATCCTCCTATTAATTTAGTGAATCATGTGGTATTATTCTCTGCACCTTCCCTGCACCCAAAGAAAAGTAGTCATTGGTGTCTTTGCTCATTTCTTACAAAACTTCTTATTTTTAAAGAGGAAGTTATGTAAAATATTTTCAAAAGCTAGTACAATACATAGAAGACCATTGTATGACATGTCTAGTGTATTTGGTACTTGGGATCACTGTACTCAATCATTTGCGCATATAAAATTCAACAAATGATGCGATAAATGCTAAAGATCATTATGATAGATGAGATGGATGGTTTTCATGTTGTTGTATTCGTTTAACCATGAAAAGATATCACCAAGTTCTGATTAGATGGAAGAAATGAGGAAATAAAATGCTTTATTCAAGCAAAAGAAAAAAATTAGCACCACCCAAAACCTGAGGAAGGGTGAATTGAAAAACTCACATCCAAATATTTTGCCTATATTGTAATGTATTGATTTCATGAGTTTCAGAAAACATTAGTCTACACAAAAGGTATTTATTATCCAGCATGGTGTACCTACTGGTGAAGTGTATGAATGACTCACATTATTCACTCTGTCCAAAGGGAGATGGGTGATAATTTTTTTTTTTTAAATATATTTTATTGATTTTTTTACAGAAAGGAAGGGAGAGAGATAGAGAGTCAGAAACATCAATGAGAGAGAAACATCGACCAGCTGCCTCCTGCACATCTCCTACTGGAGATGTGCCCGCAACCCAGGTACATGCCCTTGACCGGAATCGAACCCGGGACCTTTCAGTCCGCAGGCCGACGCTCTATCCACTGAGCCAAACCAGTTTCGGCGGGTGATAATTTTTAACTTGCAAATTTCCTATTCTATTTCAATGAAAGGGAAGGGTATCTACAAAAATTGAAAAGCCAAGTATCAGTGCATAAAAAATAAATAGAATACCTTTTGTCCCCATATTTCAGCTTTATGAAATTGGGTTGGATATATATGGTAAGAGAAATATACATTTTACTGTACCCACAAAAAACTGGGCACAGTAGATGCAGAATATAAAAATAAGTCAAGAATTGACCTTTAACAATTGTATATAGCTTGGAGTGTAGTTAAGTCTCAGTGTCATTCAGAGTGCAGATCTCCCCCTTAGACATGTATTAATTGCGTGGAAATTAAGTTTATAAACACTTGTATACAACACAGTGTGTTCCACTTAAGACAGTTCATATAGAAATTTCACCCACAGAGTTGGCCTTTCCCTCCATTTTCCATGGTGTGAAAAACTGTCCCCTAAAATTGTTGGATGTGTCATTTCAGTGATCAAGGGAGGACCCCTGGAAGATAACTATCGATTGAAGCAGTTCCATTTTCACTGGGGGGCCATCGATGCCTGGGGCTCTGAGCATACTGTGGACAGCAAATGTTACCCGGCAGAGGTATGTTGAGAAGCTCGGGAACAGTGACAATTGTGGAGGAGTGGGGATAGTTCTGAGTTTCTAGTTTGAAGAAATTATCAGGAAGAATCAAGTGATGCCTATAAATCTAAATAGCTCTCTCCGGGGCATATTAGATTGATTATTCCCAATTATTACATGTAAAATGATAACTGCCCTCATCTCAAATAATATAGCTTAAGTCAACCTTAAGATTACAAAATGGACTTCTTTCCGGATTCTAAGCTAAGTTCAAATCATAGGCTAAAGTAAAAACCTAGGCAACAGTGCAGGACCACCACATCTAATTAATCCAAGTGAGAGATGGTGGGAACCTAAATGAAGAAATGGATATAAAGAGTGAGATTTAGCAAGCATTTCTAACCTAAGAGCAACAGCACTTGAGGCGGGGTCCTCTTTAGGAAAGGAGAGGAGAGGAAAGGAAGGTAAGCATGACCTTGAGGGTCTTACTTGGGAGGCTGGATATTGAAACATTCATGAATGATGGATGACGAATAATTTGTAGTGAAATATAGGGAACACATAAGCACATAGAATTTCTTCTAACAATTTCCCCCCTAATTTAGTTTTGTGTTAGCTTTAAAAGAAACATTTTAATTGGTTCTCACTCAAAGAAATGTGTCTTCAATTCCTATCTAATTCCCATAGGGAGAATCTATTTCTCTCAAGATAAGCATCTCTCCTTTATATGCAAATGGATTTGGGATATGAGTGTTTCATGCACATCATGGTGAGAATGGACAAATGTTGTTCCCTCACTGAAATGTTACTCACTCTGCTATATATATTTTCTTTTCCAAATGTCTTCCAAATTAATATCTGCTGCTGCATTCATTTCTTCTTGTTCTTTATTTTGATTTCGTATGCTTTTCCCAGTGGCTTTATTATGGGTGAGGAAACATGTTAATGTCGAATAAGGCTATTTTTGATCGATCCTGTGTGATCATGTGTCAAACCATCTTTTAATGGCATTTCAGCTGCACCTGGTGCATTGGAATTCAGTCAAATTTGAAAACTTTGAGGATGCAGCACTGGAAGAAAATGGTTTAGCTGTGATAGGAGTATTCTTAAAGGTAAGAAAAAGTTACTAACTTTAATTGATGTGTAGTAGTCTAGGATGAAAAGACAGAATATTGCATGACTAAGTTCTAAGAATATTGGGATAAAAATAAACCATGGTTAAAATACCAGATTATTATGAATATATTTTAAATGGTGTAAAAATGGATGGTCCAATAGAGTAGTCACAAGCCACATGTGGCAACTGAACACTTGAAATGTGGTTACTTTGTGGAACAGTTTTTAATTTTAATGAATTTAAATTTCAGACCTTATAGTTAAATGGAGGGGTACCTTTCCCTGCAGGCATGCTGATCTTATCAGCAAACAGCTTGCTCATTGGTTCTGTTCTAATTTAATTCAGTGATATGTATAATATTCTAAATTACCAGTTTAAGTATAGTTTAAGTAGTGTGGTTGGTTTGTTTTTATGTAATCACCAGGTGGTTAATTTTAATTCACATTCTGTTGTAATTTCAAAAGTGAGATGTCAATTGTTTTTAATATTTGCTCTTGCTTTTTCTTTAGCTAGGGAAAAATCATAAAGAGCTACAAAAATTGGTGGATACGTTGCCATCAATTAAGCATAAGGTAATATTTTTTTTCCAAAAGCACTTGCAATATATTTTATGTTTAAGTCTCAGAGTGGAAATACTAACAAAGCCCTTTGAATTGGGAAATGTAATTAACTTCAGTGTAATTCAGGTTATCTTTGAAAGTTTCCTAGACAACAATTTGGCTTTTGGTGCTTGTGTGTTGAGAGCACCCCTGGCCCTCGGGGTACAGCAGGGATTTCTTTGGTGGGCACTGGCCACTGGTTTTGCTGCCATGCCCTGAGCATTCAAGGACTTGGGAACATAATGGGTCCCCTCCTCTGCTCCTGACACTTGCTCCCTCTCAGTCCTTGTGGACACACGTAGAGCAGCCTTCTTGACTCTAGCTACCCTCCCTCAGGCAGGTAGCAGAGAAAAGTTGGGCAGAAACTTGGCTTGTCCACCTCTAAATAACAATTACCCATATCCTTCATGACTGATACCTTTGTCCAGCCTCAAGATCAGTTGTCCAATATTCAGAATCCCAAAGGGACTGCTCCCTGGAAATCCATATGTTGCTCTTTCTCTTTCCTTCCCCATCTCCCCCTCTTTCCTTCCTTCTTCTTTCTCACTCCCCTTTGACTAGGATCCTGGCTCCTAATTTGCATTGCATTTTAGAAAGGAGGATGCTATTAGGCTCTTGAAAAGGGAAGCCTCCTTATTTGTGCACCAGCCACCACCTAATGCCCCCCAAGAATTCAGAGGAGAAGCAGCCTGTAGAGGTTGATCATGATCAGGTACATTCTTTACACATTTCTGTATAAGAAAATTCTAGTTTTCCTCTTCAAAACAAGCCTGGGCTCAAACTTTGGGATCAGTTTTTAACTTATAATGCTTATACATTTTTATTAAAATGTGCTAACTTCTTGTCTAATTTGGGTATGAATTAAGAAATGTGTCAAATTAACCAGAAAGAGAAGTTAAAACTTAGGAAACAGCCTGGCCAGTATGGCTCATTAGTTGAGTGTCAACCTATGAACCCAGAGGTCACTGGTTCAATTCCCAATCAGGGCACATGCCCAGGTTGTAGGCTCGATCCCCAAAGGAGGCATGCAGGAGGCAGCCAATTAATGATTCTCTCTCATCATTGATGTTTCTATCTCTCTCTCCCTCTCCCCTCCTCTCTGAAATCAATAAAAATATATTAAAAGAAAGAAAAGAGAACATCTTAAACAAACAAATAAATAAAAAGGGTAACTTCTACTGGGTTTTTAGAGCTTCTCTGTGTCTGCACTTTAATAATCAGCTCAAAATAATCCTTATTGCCAAAGGCATATTTTGGGGTCACAAATTCTGCTCCCCTTTATCTCCAAATGGGGAAAGCTTTTCTAACTATGTATCAAAACCAGAATTCGTAAAGAAAGCAACTAGTGAATTAGACTGTGTATTTTTTTTTTAATTCTGTGTGACGAAATCCATTATAAACAAATGGCAAAATACAGATCTTGTCTGCCCATAAGCCTGGGCGTGGTTGCCTATACATTTAATCTGCTACTATTGTTCATATTTAAAAGTTGACATGACACTGAAAAATAGGTAAATAAAATAAATAAACCATAGGGTCAGTGTCCTATATGGAAGACTTTGGAAATAAAATTTCAACAGGGAAAATTTCAACAGAAAAAAAAAAAGATAGAGCTGTCATCTATAATCCTAGTCACCTACAAATTATTCTAACCACTCAGTGTTAATCATTGTTTGGGTAAATCCTTCTGGTTTATCTGTATAAATATATGTAGTTTTTTAAACAAAATGGAATCATTCTGTATGAACCATTTTGCTGCTCTTTTCACTCACTGATGTGTGGAATACTTTGTAGATAATAAACATTACCTTCGGTATTATTTTTAATGGCTATGTACCAATCCATTTTATAGATCTAGTGGTGTTTGGGCTATTCCTAATCTTTGCAATTTGTAAAAATAAAAAACACCCCAAGACCGAGAAGAACCTTAGTTACTTGGACACATTCCTATTTAATGAGGGTATAATGATGTAATTTGAAGTACGGTAATTTTTTGGTGCTTGCCTCTGGTCCCAATCCCGCCTCTGTAGCTCTACTGTGCCTCAGGTTGTCCTTCAAGCTGTATTGCACCTGACTGAATAATGAGAAAGGTTGTGAATACGTTTTCCGGCTGGCTTGAAGTTGAGTGTCCAGCCCATAGTTGCCCAGAAAGGCAAGGTGCTACTGATTAATGCTATTGCCACATTAATGAGCCCTTGATTTGGGGTTGCTCCTTTTGTACTGAGCTGCTGTGTCTAATACATCAGCCACTAGCCCGATGTGGCCATTTAAATTTAAATATAAATACATTAAAATAAAGATTAAATTAAAACATCACTTCCTTGGTCACACTGGCCACAGTTCAAGCACTCAGAAGCTATCTATGGTTTGTGTCTACCCTAATGAACTGCAGAGGACCTTGCCATCGTTTAAGAAAGTTCTTTTGGACAGTGTCAGCAAGGTGCATGCCAGTGTCCAGGTGCGGTAAGCAATCAAGGATATATTGTGTTAACAATTCAGTTAAAATTTGAAAAGAAAAAAAAAACCACCAAAAAAACACCCCACAAAAACATTTTTGGTGCTGTTACTTTATGTACCAGGCCTTTCCTTTTTCATTCAGTGAGCTGCTGTTTTAACTATTTCAAGACGGGGTTCCTGGAATCAAAGATGAAGTAACTTATTCTTGGCAAATGGCCAATATGTGGGGGACAGGGCCTTTGACCCGCAGTCCTTGGGTTCCAAGTGCCCGGCTGGTTCCACCACCTCCTACTGCTCTCCTCTCCACACACCTTCCTCCCTGTCCAATGCTGAAGGCATTCCTACCCAGAATAAGTTCTGCTGTGTCCAATTTTAGAGAAATGTTTCAGAGTCGTAAAAATGGAAGTAATTTATTAATGCAGTGAAACTGTTTTTCCATTGCAATTATTTATGCTTCCTGTTTCTATTTCTAGCTTGAGCAATTTCGGACCCTGCTTTTCACTTCCGAGGGGGAGAAAGAAAAAAGAATGGTGGACAACTTCCGCCCCCTGCAGCCCCTCATGAATCGCACTGTCCGCTCATCCTTCCGTCATGATTATGTCCTCAATATACAAGCAAAATCCAAGCCATCGACCAGCCAAGCTAGCTCCTAAGACGCCCATATGTAGGTGGTGTTTTGCTTTAATACATAATAGGTTTTTAAAAACTGTTAACTAAGACTATTCTAAACACCTAATACTAACTATAGAGGTGCATTTCTTGGTATGGTAGTGCTCCTTCAGTCTTTTATTGATAATGATGTTAACACTGAAGTAGCAACAAGAAACACAAGTTTCTCTTAAAGCAACCTGTTGGTTTTTCTAATGTCTTTTAATGTCTGACATTTTTTGAGCTGTCTTTTTATATTATCAGTTAGTGGTTATATAGAGTTGTAAGTAGGGATGACAGTCAAATATTTAACCACTGGTAAGGCACAAACTGGTACTTTCTGGCTGAACATTGGTCATGATTTTAGGTACATTTTAAAACATGGATGAATTTTCTTTTATAAGGCCTTCTCAGTGAGCATATTTGCTCTGCTCTTTAGTTATCTTTCTAGTAGATGATATGTTTGCTTATTTACTATCAACTTATGATACAGAAAAAAATATTATGTAATCCTAGGAAAACAAAGATTTACTGATATCTGGAAATATTTTTGCATTTCTGAAGATCAGATATTTTACTTAAAGGCCTGATCATATAAAAAGCATATGCAGTGTAGAACATTTTAAAGAAAATGCTTGAAGTGCCTGGAACTTACAATTCTTTCATGACATACTTATGGAAGTATTTTTCAAATGATCAGTAATATATAGTTTATAAAATTATTTTGCATTATTTGTACACTGTTTCATAGACAAAACAGTCTTAGCTTCCCTTTAAAACTGTCTGAACTTTATTTCCTTAGTTGATGTTCTGGGCAAGACAGGTGATCAAAATAAGTCTCCCAGTTTATACAGTGGCTTAGAAAACTTTTGCTACAGCAATAGGGGGAGAAACTTGTCAGACAGGCTGAAATCTAGGTAATTCTACATATTCCATGGGATCCATGCCACTGTTGCCCCTGCTTGTAAATATCTTGGAATGTTTCTAATGGCCAATAAGCCTGTGTTCAGACTCAATATTGCATTAATTAGTAGTATTTCTTTCATGAATATGTTAATCTGGTCTGGAAGATAGAGTTGGATAAATATACTTAACACTACTGGACCATACACTGAAAAAAGTTAAGATGATAAGTTTTATGCTATGTGTATTATTAAGTAAAAATAAATAATTCGGTAGGAAGAAAAGATAGAATTGAAGTTGTATATGTAAACTTAGGGGGATATATCTGCCCTAAAGAAGGTTGGAAGGGGGAGTGAAGGCATTTACTTCTAGGGTGCATGCCTTTTCTGGGAAAGGGAAGCAAGTATACCTTGGGAAATGAATATAATTCTTAAAAAGGAAAATGTGGGAGGGAAAGTTTACCTCAACTGATCTGTTTCAAACCATAGTTGTCTTTGAAAGGGTAAACACACAAGATATACATTATTCCTCTCACACAAGCTTCCCTCCTAGGCCTCTTGCAAACTCTTAATGCAAAATTCTATTGCTGTGAGTCTTCCAAATTGGAGCCAGAAGCAATGTACAGAACACCCGCTTACCCTTATATCTTAGAGGTACAAAGGGTGTACAGTTGACCGTTGAACTGCATTTGAAATGCGTGGGTCCACTTACACGAAATTTTTTTCAATAAATACGCACAGTACTGGAAATATTTTCTCTTCCTTATGATTTCCTTAACATTTTCTTTTCTCTCACTTACTGTATTGGAAGAATGCAGCACATAATATACAAAATATGTATTAATCAATGATTTGTTATCAGCTAGGCTTCTAGTCAACAGTAGGCTATTAGTAGTTAAGTTTTGGGGGAGTCAAAAGTTATACACAGATTTTTGACCATTCAAGGATGTCAGTGCTCCAAGCCCTGCATTGTTGAAGGGTTAACTGTACAGGGTGGGGCAAGAGTAGATTTACAATTGTTTATATGGAAAATAATACAATAATTAATAAATTAAAATACAAGAATAAACAGTTTCGCATACTCACAACTGTAAACCTACTTTTGCCCCACCCTGTATTTATAGGGTGTTTCTCAGTTTATAACTCCTGATTTACTTACACCGCATGTTCTGGTGTAATTTATAACAGAACCCCCTTCAGTCTTAGCCATGTCCTGTATGTATGTTTGCATAATACATTTTTGGTCACCTTCCCTGCGGAGGTTATGGAAACTGCCTTGGGGTGTGGTTTCATGCATGCCTTAGTTATCTGCTCCCAAAAGGGATCATAGAGATTCCCTGGCTAGTGAGACACCCTAGCAGGAAACATTTTATGTCTTCATGTCTCCAAAAGTGTTTTACTGCTACCTTCCTAGACCTGAAGGGGATAAGATCTGTCAAAGGGCTTGAGAAAGAATTTTGTATTTAAATTGCTGCTCATCTTCATTAAGTAATGCTAGATTAATAAAACCATCTTTATAATATTAGTATTTGTTGAACGAGCTTTTCTTCCTATTAGTTGTATGGAATATGTGTGTAAAATTTGCGAGATATCCTAACATGTAGATCAGAAAGTGAAGGGAAAACTCATAAGGATTTTACTAGAGAAGCCAGAATGGAAAGAACCACCTGCTCCTCCCCCTCAGCTCACCTCTTTTTATGAAACCAGGGCATGATCTGCTGACATCACCAATAGGGCAAGCTGCCAGCCCCTTTCTCCTTTCCCAGTGCTATATGGGTTAGCAGTGGTCGGCAAACTGTGGCTCGCGAGCCACATGAGGCTCTTTGGCCCCTTGAGTGTGGCTCTTCCACAAAATACCAACTTCTGCGCATGGGCCACGAAGTTTCAATCACACTGTACATGCGCACCCACACGTGGTATTTTGTGGAAGAGCCACACTCAAGGGGCCAAAGAGCCGCATGTGGCTCTCAAGCCGCAGTTTGCCGACCACTGGACCGTTAGGGTAATGTTGGCTATTCTAAAACCAGGCATCCACCTCAAAAAAGTTTAGGAAGATGTGTTTGATATTAGCAAAAATACAGTATTGAAACTGCTTTAGGTATTTTTCTTTAATGTTGTATTGTATTTTTAATTCAACTTTGTTAGTTGTTTCATATAAAATGTTATTGATCGAAGTGGGTAGTTCATTTAAGTGAATAAGCTCTAATTTTACCATATAATTAGTACATATAAACAATATGGGCTACTTTACAGATAAATAGTAATGCATTCTTGTGTTTATGGGCTGAGTGTTTATGCCCTCGCCCCCCCATCCAAGATTCATATGTTGAAATCCTAACCCTCAAAGTGATGGTATTAAGAAGTAGAGCCTTTGGGAGGTGATTATATCATGAGGGCGGAAATCTTCATGATGAGGTTAATGCCCTTATAAAGGAGTCCCCAGAGACTCCTTCCACCATGTGAGGACACATGGAGAATATGGCCATCTATGAATCAATAAGGAGGTACTTAGCAGACACCAAATTTATTGGCACCTTGATCTTATCCTCCCAGCCTCGACTGTAAGAAATAAATTGTGGTGATTTATCAGCCATCCAGTCTCTGGTACAGTGGGACCTTGAGTTACGAGTGTCCCGACTAACGAGTTTTTCCGAGAGACCGAGCCGTCTCTCAGCAGATTTTCTGCTTTGAGTTGACAGAGTAATTTGAGTTAACAAGCTACTTAACGAGCCCTGTCACGGAACGAATTAAACTCGTAAGTCAAGGCCCCACTGTATATTGTTACAGCAGCCAGAACTGACTAAGACATTGTCAGTATATGTACATTTTTATTACTGTTTTTTTTTTAATTCAACCAGTCTTCAGAAATGGTACTTTTGTTTGGGCTCTAGGTGGGGAGATCAATTCTGCCACCATTCATTCTCAAACCACCTGAAGTTGTGTTGCTTTGACCTTATCACTAGACAAGACTCAAATTTAACAACTATCATTGTATAGTTCTCTCCTCCAAAGAAAACTTTTAATCAGTTTTTCCAAATCAGCATTTTTCATATTAATATGCATTCATAAGTTATCTTGCCATTTTAAGTTATAACTGTAATCTGGAATATATATATATATATATATATATATATCCATATCCATCCATCCCTCGGCATAGCAGTGAGGGTTGCAGAGACTTGAGACCCTGTTGTATGTCCTTGAACAAATTTAATACTGAAATTAATAGTAGGTAAAGAATGAAATTTTCTGCCCAGCCAGTATTGCTCAGTGTGAGCATCAACCCATGAACCAAGAAGTCCCCAGCTCAATTCCTGGTCAGTCAGGGAACATACCCAGGTTTCAGGCTCAATCTCCAGTTGGGAGTGTGCAGGAGTCAGTAGTCTCATTGATGTTTCTATCTCTATATCCCTCTCCCTCTCTCTTTAAAAATCAATAAAAACATATTTTATAAAAAAATGAAATTTTCTTTCCTGAGGGTTTCTGCATTGACCATTGAGTAAATCCTAATACGATTGTCCTACTAGAGCAAGAAAAAAAAACTAATTGAAAGAGTCCAAACCTGACATTCAGAGTAGACATTTTTTAAAAATCATTTTATGCTTGCAGTAAATAAAAAATATACTTATGGGCTATCCTTTTGTCTCTTTATATTAACTAAGACATTTAATAATAGTATTATCTACTACAGGATTTATATAAGTAAAATATTTTTTAGATAATCAGCTATTTTCTACTGACAACATAAAATAAAAATTTAGGCATTTTCCCATAGAAGGGGCATAAACTGAAATATACTTACTTGAGAATAAGTAGATATATTTTAGTCACCAAGGAAAATAGGAAATGTATGTTATATTACAGAGTAAAGATAACCTTGTTTTATTTATTGGAATATCAAAGCAGAATGTATCTTTGCATTAAATGTTTACATACCTTATTTTTATCTTATGATTTATCCATTTAAATCAGTGGTTCTCAACCTTCCTAATGCCGCGACCCTTTAATACAGTTCCTCATGTTGTGGTGACCCCCAACCATAAAATTATTTTCATTGCTACGTCATAACTGTAATTTTGCTACTCTTATGAATTGTAATGTAAATATCTGATATCCAGGATGTATTTTCATTGTTACAAATTGAACATAATTAAAGCATAGTGATTAGTCACAAAAACAATATGTAATTATATATGTTTTCTGATGGTCTTAGGCGACCCCTGTGAAAGGGTCGTTCAACCCCCAAAGGGGTCGCGACTCATAGGTTGAGAACCGCTGATTTAAGTGATGGTAACTATAATTTGGAAATGACTTTTAAAATTAGGAGTATCTTCCTAGAAGACATTCCTTCTTGTTATTATGTGAAAGTCTAGTGCAATTTATAAGAAATGTTACAGCAACCCGAACACTGATGCTTTCAGTATGGCAGTAATTCTCAGCATAAGTCCTGGTCACAGGAAATAGAAAAATGGTGATTTGCATAGGTACATTCTGCATCACTCAGGGCATTCTCTAGTTTCAGAATATAACTGTCACGTCTCTACCTTCAAGGAGTTAAAGATTCAGTGCAAGAAGCAGACTTGTGAAAGCAACAAAGTGCAATATAGTGTGATAGGTGTTAGGAAAGGTGAAATACCTATGCTTGGAGCGCAGGCAGGGCAAATACCTAACCCACTCTTGAGGGGGTGAAGTTTTCGAACCGGTGATGATATAGCTGCTATTGCCAGGCACCATGCCAATACGTAGCATACGTTTGAAAACTATTGTTACTATCTCGATTTTTACAGATAAACTGAGGACTAGACATTAAGGAATTTACTCAAGATCAGAGAGCCAAGGCTTGAGTTTCCTAGTCTATTCAACTCCAAAGCCTCTAATTACCGATGCACTGACCCGGACAAGATCAACTTGGAGGTGTTGTGTTGATCTTGTGTCTCTGTAAGAGGGAGTAAGACAGGCTTTATGTAGAGTTTGTGCTTCCGTTGAATGATTCCAAGGAGGAACTAGGGGAAGCCGGGACAGTTTAGTGATTGGGTAGCTCAGTAATTTTGATTTGGAGGCGAGAGGTACAAAGCTAGGCCAGGGAGTTAAGTTCACCTCTGCAGCCCGCAGATGTGAATGGAAAGGGGTGAGTCTAGAGCTTGGTCTGAGGCGCTGATTGGTGGAGTCGCGGAAGGAGGCGCAGCCTGGGAAGTCGGACTGGGAAGCAAGGCGAGCTGGGGGAGGGGGGGAGGAGAAAAGAGGAAGAAGTGTTACTTTAACCTCATGGCCACAAGCCATTCCACTATGGTGTCGAGAGCGGTAGGAGGGAAGAGATACTTGCAGGCCGGCATAGCGATTCTCGAGAAGGAGACATTTATTTGTGCAGGGTTTCGGAAGACGAGCCAGCGACGGCAACCTCCAGTTCTCTATGTTGGGTGCGTCTGGCGGAGGCACGCCCCGCGCTCCTGAGAGACCGCAGGGCACGTCGTTCCGTCCGCAGCTGCGC